GCCTGGGCTGTTTGTGGATTGTGTGTGCGCAGGTGAAGCTGTCGATGGTGCTGGCGAAGGCAGATCTTGCAGTCGTGTATTCCAATGTGTGTGTGCATGTGTGTGTGTGTGTGTTCCAATGCAACATAAATATATATTCTATTTGACGATATATATATATATATATATATATATATATATCGTCAAATAGATATATATATATATATATGATGTGCGCACCTACCGCATATGCGGCCCGCCAGCACGCAACCCCCAGCGCACCCGCGCGCAGCGCATCGGCCCTGTGCGCAGCACATCGCGCATCGCTCACCGCGCAGCCAGGTGCGTGCACACCTCGGGTCCGCGCACCGCGCAGCGCACAGGGCCGATGCGCCGCAAGTATGCTTATATCATATGCCGCACTACCTGTTAATCAATGGCTGCACATTAGAAGAAGGCAAACTGACCCACACAACTCAGATTTGTGCGTAGCCTGCTCGGACAACGAACAAGAAAATATGTTACACTGCTTAGTGAGATGCAGAGAGGCTAAAGAATACTGAGCTAGAACCTCCGGTCTTTGAGAACACCTGTTTCCCTCCTCCCTTCCCGAACCCCTTCTATGGACCAACACTCCCTTGATCTTTCGCAAGGCGAAAAGGGTCTGGTTTGATAAGGAAGGTGAATCTTTTGGTCATATGGGAGAAGATATGCAACAACACTCTGGACTCTTTTGATCATATGGAAGGAGAGATGCAACAGCACTCTGGACAGCTCCAACAATCCACGGGACAGCATGTCTGCATCCACCAAGGCTCTGATTCAGGCCGAGATCCAGTGCCAGTGGCAAAAAAGTCAAGCTCTCAATGTCAGAAATTTCAGACTTGAACTTCCCGTGTTTCCTGGAAATGCAGAGAGCAGGCAAGCTGACAGTCAATCCTCCAAGCCATTGGAGCAATGAATGCTGTTCAGGGCTCCTTCAGCCAAATGGAAGGAAGTGTGAGTCTGTCATTTTCGTATCTCTGACTTGTCGGGGGAATAGGAACCAGACTGACACTCCCCAGAATGGACAAGGAGCCAGGTCCCTGCTTCATTTAAAAAAAAAAAAAAAAAGGTATACGTTCAAGAGACACATCATGCATCAGAATCTCAGACAGAGTCGAGAACTTATGGTATAGGGTAAACGAACACTCGTTAAAATCTCAGCTGGAGTCAAGAGTCTTTCAATAGACAGACACCTTTGACTGCAATGCAGCTTGAAGTGATTCCACCTCCTCAAGAAGCCCCTTGTTCTTCTTCTCGGCTTCAGTAGCAATTGCATTTGCATCCTCATCGGCAAAGCTTTTCCGTTTCCCACCTCTGCCTGACTGTGACAAATACAAAGCACAGTCGATGTTAAAGGAAGACTGATAACTTTTTTGTAGTAGAAAGAAACCAGTCCCTCAAGCCCTGGTCAAGGAAGGCTGATAACTTTTTTGAAATAGAAAGTAACCAATCACTTGAGCCCTGGTCAAAATTACTACACAGAGCACAGGAACATCCACACCTTTCTTCCCGCTGCCCAAGAAAACTCCCCTTCAGACGACGACTTTACGACTGTAAACTTTTCTGATACTTTATGTAATTTCATATAATGATGGTTTTCAGTGTTTCAGACTTCTTTCTCGTTTCCACATCACAATGATCACACATATATATTGTCACATATCTATCAAGTAAAAGATCGCACTTTGCGAAACAAACGAAAAAATATACAAGGCAAACATGAAGAGCACCACTGAAAGCGCTCGTTTGCCTCTTCCTATGCAGTTCTTCCTTTTCTTTCCTAACTGTTGCCTCTTTGATTTTCGTCTTTTAGCTCCCCGTTCACTGTGCCTCTCGCTTACAAGGCTCACCACGTTGATGAAGTTGAGCGCTAGCTGCCCGCATCCGTGTGTGCCATAATGGTTCCACTTGTACTCTGAAAAGGAAGCAGAGTAAAGGGAGAGGGGATAAACCGAGAGAAAAAATGGAAAGAAGACAAAGCAAAGGAAAACAAAGGGAAACAAAAGGAAAGCAAGGAGTGTGGAATTAACATGAAAGCAGAGGAAAGGATAAGAGAAGGCTTGGAAATCAGTCCGTCCTTTACAACCGCGAGGACATACTGTGTAAGGATGAGATGAATGAGGCATGGAAGACCTAGCTGAGCAGTCTCAGTACAGCAACCGCCATGACAGCATGCATTGAGAGGACATGGAGACCTAGCTGAGCAGTCTCCCACACAAAAATTGCACGACAGTTGGCATTAAGCATGCCCCCCAAACGCTCACAACGAACTGCATGCCGATTGCATGCCAACATGAAGGAAGAATGAACACCAGAAAAGACCATGCATTCAGTGTAACGCCCATGGCCGCGAAATGGACATACTGCATTGAGACCACCATGCATGGCACACGCACACACAACTCTCACACAAATCCGGACACACATGAAGCACACATGAGACAAGAGTTCCAATCAACAGAAGAAACTGAATTGTCTTCTTCAACACACGTGGCTATGGCCGCCCACACAGAACATGCAGCTCTCTCTCTCTCTCTCTCTCTCTCTCTCTCTCTCTCTCTCTCTCTCTCTCTCTCTCTCTCTCTCTCTCTCTCTCTCTCTCTCTCTCT